GAGTGACAAGTGCTTAGGTAAGGGAAGCACAGGGTACTGGGGAACCCAGAGAAGGGCCATTTAGGCTGAGATTCTGCTCCCAAAGGGAACTGTGTCAATGAATACGCAGGAGTAGCCTTGAGGAAAAGGAAAAGGAACACAGGTTCTTCTAGACAGAGGCAAGGCCTGGAGGCTGAAGACCAAGAACACGATTCCAGTTCTGTAGGGAGCAAAAGCAAGTCCCTGGCACCGGGAACCAAGAAGCAAGACGTGAGGGCGCAGAGATAAGAAAAACCAGACCACGAGGAACAGTGTGAGTCATTTATGGAACCTGGTTGGGATGGGCTGGAATCAGCCACTGGAGTGGTTGGCCACCAAGGACTGAAGAATCCCCGGAGGTGAGGTTGGCGTCCAGAGAGGACGTGCGCGGAGGTGGCCGTGCACACACCGAAGCATTGCCTGTCTTTGCCCAGTGCTCAGAGGTAGAGTGCACGCCTAGCATGTGTGAGGTCCTGGGTTCAATCCTTAACACCATATAAAGTAAAATAAAGACATTGTGTTCACCTATAACTAAAAAATAAATATTAAAAAAAAGAATGAGCAGGAGTTTAATGATCAAAGGAGAAGGAGAGAATTTAAGAACATCATATTATTAAAACAGCAGTTGTTTGGTTAAGTCTGAAGTAGCAACTAGTCTAGAAGAAATGTCTTAAATAAAAGAGGTGAGGTCAGTACCTTACCTTTCTCTCCAGATGTGGTGGTGAACTTTCCAAAGATCATCTGCTTCCTGGGCTAAGAAATCTCAGAGTCCCTCCAATGAGTGACACAATACCCTGCAAGAGGAACATGGTGAGTTCAGCTTGCTGATTAGACTTGTGTGCTTCTAGAAGGAAAGGACCCTCTCTAGTCAGCTTTCTCTCTGACATTCTTAGCTTCATACTGAGTGCAAAAGATGCTGATGGAGTCCTCTTCACAGAGGTGCATAGATGGCATTTAGCAAGTAATCCTCCCCTGGGACGGAGAGAAGTTTGGTTTACCTAGCTGGATGTGGCACGACATTATAAAGGTCACATCTTTCTGGTGGTCACAACAAAGCATTAAACACAAACAAAAAAGCATAGTGAACCATTGAAAAGCTCCCAAACCCCAGAGCGAGTCCCTAAACTTCAGGTTCTCTCTTTCTTACTAGGAAGGGACATAAACTAGTTGGCATGATGGTCATCTTACTGTCCAAACCACGCCCTGTTTGCTCAGTCTTGACTGCAGTGTGCTGGAGAGGCGTTGTGTGACCCTGCCCTGGCTCCCTCGCCAAGTCCCTGGCACTCTTTCCTTTCTGGCAAGAATCCAGCTCCCTCTGATCTGGGCATCCTAAGCTGGACACTCTCCCACGCCCCATCCCATCTTGTTACCTTTGTCCCCCCCAGCCCTCCACATTCCTCCTAAGGTTCTCAGTCACATGTCCCCCGGCTGTCTTGCCTCTCTGCCAGCTTAGCTCACCCCTTTGCTTCCCATCCCGTCTGCTCCTCCCCAACCCTCCTTGGGAACCTGAAACAGCCATCTTCTCCTCTGTGGCCATGTGGCCAGGGCACAAGATTGAGCTCCCTGGACTCTGGATTAGGCAGAGGTGTTCCTGGAAGGCTTGGATTCTGATATGGATCTTGTTCTCCTCAGCAACTCCGAAGTCACGTGGCTGCTCTAAGCCTTGACTTCCTCATGCAAAAGATAGTTTGAAGAATATTGACTTTATAGGGTTGCTGGGAGAATTGGCTGAGACGATGGACGTGCAGACCACAGTACTGTGTGCTGTGGGCTTCTGACAAATGTTCCGTCAACAAGGGCTTCCCCACAGCATCTCACAGCCTGCCTCCCAGTGACCCTAACCTGGTGCCTCATGGTGCCCCAGTGGATTGTGCCCTAATAAACCTCCATAGATAGGACACCATGGGTATTCTCTGTGAATGTGAATGAGGAGAGTCCCTGTTGTCATTGTTCGAGAAGAAGTCATGGTTTAGATGTGAGATGCCCCCCACAAAGCTCCTCTGAATGCAGGAATATTCAGAGGTGAAATGATTATGAGAGCTGTGACCTACTCAGCCCATCTTAGTTTAATGGGTGGACTGGGTAGTAACTGTAAGCAGCTGGGGCATGGCTGGAGGAGGTGTGTCACCAGGGGCACCACCAGAAGGGTACACCTTCCCTGTGCTTCTCCCTCCACCACTCTAGTTTCCTTGCTAGCACAGGTGACAGTTTCCCTCTGTTTGGCCTTTCCTTCATGATGCACTGCTTTACCTTGTAGAGCAAAGGATTCCGTGGTCTATGGACTGAGACCTCTGAAACCATGAGCCCCAAATAAACTTTCCCTCTTCTGAGTTGTTTGTGTCCAGTTTTTCTGGTCACAGAGATGAAAAGCTAAGTAAGACAGAAGTAAAGCATAATGAACACTGGGTCTGTTGTGTGGTTGTTCCGGCCTCCCTGGGGGAAAGCGGTGCGTCCCGTGAAATTTGGGGGGCTCATCAGCACCATGCTACTATGTGTGCTACGCATGGTGTTTAGGGTGCTATTTGGGAGCTAGAAAGTTTCCAACGACAGGGACAACTGGAGAGCTTTGTCTACATCTTTTTAGCTTTATTGACCTTGATCTGATTATTTTTCTGCAAGAAACTGGTCAGTCCTCCACTTAAACTGTTTCAGGACAAAAAGTCACTGAAATCTCTGTCCAGTCTGTTTAGCAAAGTCAGGGTAACCTAAATACCAAGATCTGATAAAGACACTATGAAAATAAGAAAACTGCAAATAAACCCAGCAAGATTTTGAAGAAACAATGCCTGACAGCCACCAGGGTTCCTTCGGGAGGCAGTGTCTCCCCAGGTAATATGCCTGAGCTCCCGGCCAGGCTGCTGGAATTCTAAGTCCCATCTGTGCAAGGCTGGGAAGGTAGGTTTGCTGTGTGACCTATGTAAGTGTAGGTTCCCTCCTTTGTGAGATGGAATGACAATAGTAGCCACTTCCTGGGACTTTTGGGCACAGCACTAGGATCACATCTGCACGTTGGGATCAATGATGCATGTCACTTGCCAGCACCCAAGGCCCTGTGTCTATAATTCAGAAAACTGCTTTCACAGGAATCTCTGCTTTTTGCATATTATTGGGCAATCAGGAACTTCCAGAGAGCCCTCTCAGATCTTTCAAAAAGAAGTAAATAAAGGAACTCAAGTCTTCCGATGTCTTCTGTCAGCTCTTTCCTCTCTGCACTCACAGCACAGAGCTCCACAGAGGAAATCTGCAGATTCCCTTCTGTGGCTCTGCCCTGGCATGAGAACTCCCAGTGCCTTTAGATGGCCCAGATCCTGGTGTCCTGTACTTACATTGCCAGGGGTGTGTGAGGCAGTGTCACGTCGAGGGCTTCCAGGCTTTCCCCAGAGAATGAGCACCAGGGTACACCAGTCACGTCTGTCCCGGAGAAACATACGGCAGGACGATCTTTGAGCTGGACAGCATTTTAATCAGTGCATTAGAGGAGGAGGGAGAAGAGTAAAGGCAAGAACAACAACAACAACAAAAAGCATGTGGGCGGATGCACTTGGGGCAGGAGCAGCTGCCGCTGCTTGCAGGTGAGGTTCCCAAGGCTGGCCCAGCGCGGTGCTGCGGGAGCAGGTGCTGCTCTACAGCGCTGGACCGCTAGGTGGTACCGAAAAGTCAGAGACTCCTGGGCTCTGCCCGGGTGAGAACAGGTTGTGGAGAGGAGGGACGCTCAGGTCCGAGGGGCGGCGACAGGGGCGGGCCGGCTGCATAAACGCCGCTGGCGCTCCGCAGGAGGAGGACGCGTCCCAGTGATGGCCCTGAGCTCGCAGAGGCGGTCCCCGCGCGTGGACGCCGGGTGCCCAGGCTGAGCGCGGAGCAAGATCGGAGCCCAGGGAGAGCGCCGGTAAATAGCCACAACTTTCTATTTCCTTGAAATTATTTGGAAACGGATGCAAAATCGTGCCTACCCCACAGGTGGAGGAGGGCAGGGTGGAGGCGGCTAGGTCACTGGGCGAATTTTTAAAACAGCTGGATGTGATGTGATATCATAGTATACTTGGTCGATAACTCTGGGATGGAACTGGACATAAATATATAAAAAATGATTCCGGTTCCATAAATGCTTATGATTGTCAGTATGAATGAGGACGGAAATTCTCTGTCCCCAGGTGTGCTCTAGTTTGGAGGGCAAAAGGATTTTTTGAATATAAATCAAGACTGGCAAATAGAATAAAAAGGGACTGAAGTGTCTGACTCTAGTCCTTGATACATGTAAATGGCTGGGTTCTTCATACTGTGCTCCCGTGGAACTTACAAAGCTATTATTCAGACTTTCTGGGAATTTCAAATAATGCAGAATGGGGGGGGGGTATTGATTGAGAGGAAAACAGCCTCATTTTTTCTCAACTTTAACCTGTTTGTACCTGGGAAGCTTAGGAGCTGGAGGCAGTAACTTCTATGTGAGATCATGCTCAAGGTAACACTATCACTTAGTCTTGGTTCTGGAGGTGTAGCTGTGCAGTCTGAGTTGCAGGGGTTTTGAAGACAGTCAGGGCCAATGTGAAGAATGCAAATGTCTGTCTTGAGAAATCTGTGCTCACTGGAGGAGCATGTGGCGTAGTCGCCTTAGGAATGTGAAATTCTGGAGAGAGGTTGGAGTTTTATGGGATTTTTGTAGGCTAGAGGGGACCTCACTTTTGAGAGTAAACTTGGGACCAGGGCAACAGGCATAAAAAGTGAAACCACCCTGGATACACAGAGATGAACGCCACTCTATTTAGGTAAGTGAAAAAATGTCAATTTACAGGAAGGAGATCAGAAAATGCTGTGAAAATTCTAGGTCTGGGTGTTAGAGGGGCAGTATCCCGGGGATCAGGAATGTAAGTCAGAATGTTCATTCATTCACCCCCTTTCCTGCGTTGTGATTGCTTTGGGATGTTTTTCTTTGCCTCTCTCTCTCTCTCTCTCTCTCTCTCTCTCTCTCTCTCTCTCCTTAACCTTTTGGATTATGAAAAATCCTGTTTTGCAGTACATTTACTGGCAAGAAGAGGTGGTGTTTTCCCCCAGCTATGAATTCCTCATTTCACCTGCATTTCTTGGACCTCGGCCTGAACTCCACTGAGGGCAACATTTCAGGACTCAATGTCAAGAACAAGTCGTCTCCCTGCGAGGACATGGGCATCGCGGTGGAGGTGTTCCTGACGCTGGGTCTCATCAGCCTCTTGGAGAACATCTTAGTCATTGGCGCCATCGTGAAGAACAAGAACTTGCACTCGCCCATGTACTTCTTCGTGTGCAGCTTAGCGGTGGCCGACATGCTGGTGAGCATGTCCAACGCCTGGGAGACCATCACCATCTACCTGATAAATAACAAGCACCTGGTGATGGCAGACGCCTTTGTGCGCCACATTGACAATGTGTTTGACTCCATGATCTGTATTTCCGTGGTGGCCTCCATGTGCAGTTTGCTGGCCATCGCGGTGGACAGGTACGTCACCATCTTCTACGCGCTGCGCTACCACCACATCATGACGGCCAAGCGCTCGGGGGCCATCATCGCGTGCATCTGGGCCTGCTGCACGGGCTGCGGCATCGTCTTCATCCTTTACTACGAATCCACGTACGTCATCGTGTGCCTCATCTCCATGTTCTTCACCATGCTGTTCCTCATGGTGTCCCTGTACATACACATGTTCCTCCTGGCGCGGACCCACGTCAAGCGGATCGCCGCCGCGCCCGGGTACAGCTCTGTGCGGCCGAGGACCAGCATGAAGGGAGCCGTCACGCTCACCATGCTGCTGGGGGTTTTCATCGTGTGCTGGGCCCCCTTCTTCCTCCATCTCATCTTAATGATCTCGTGCCCGCAGAACATCTATTGCTCCTGCTTCATGTCCCACTTCAACATGTACCTGATCCTCATCATGTGTAACTCCGTGATCGACCCTCTGATCTATGCCTTCCGCAGCCAAGAAATGCGGAAGACCTTTAAAGAGATCATTTGTTGCCATGGCTTCAGAATGAGCTGTAGGTTCCCTAGCAGGTATTAATCCCAACGCCACCCTCTCTCTGGCTCTCAATTCTCCTCTGACAGAGCCGGTGAGGTCCAGCCAAGGAGCAGGGAGGATCACGAGGAATCGGAACTGCGATCCCCTTATCTCTTCTCCGGCTCAGATGTGTGGGCCTTTTCTCCTGTGGTCACTGTCATGTCAAATGTGTGCATGTTGCTTCTCCATTTTGGAAGTGGCCTGTGACAATTTCTCACTGTCCCTTTTCATCTTGCTATTTCTCAAGTCCAACCTCCCTCTGTGTGGACTTAGGGAATGCTCAACACAGAGAGTGCGTGTGAATCTAAGCCTGCAGAACAGGCTGCTATTGGAAGAAAAAGCATGAATATCTAGGGGCTGGGGCTGAGGCTCAGTGGTAGAGCACTTGCCCTGCATGCGTGAGGCCCTGGGTTCAAGATCCTCAGCACTACATAAAAAAAAATAAATAAATAAAAATAAAGATATTGTGTTCATCTGCAACTAAAAAAAGTTTAAAAATGTATGACTATCTAGATTAAATATGATTGCTTGTTTTCTTTTTTTTCTTTTGCCCCAGAAGCAGGTTCATCCTTTGCCCGGTTCACTGAAGAGTAACGTATGCTTTCCAGGAAAGAATAGACGGTCGAATTCTTTCCATTTGAAATGTCCTGTTCACTTGTATGGTTGTCTCTACAGCTCTCTTTTCCTGAACTTCTGGCTTCGTGGCTTGTATTTATAATTGTCTGAAAATGGAATTTCCTTAACTATGCTTCTGTCAGTCATGGTTTTGCACTTACCCACACATAAAACTAGATGCTGCAAACCTTGCCTCGTGTGTTGTGAAAGTCTCTGTGATGACTCCGTACTGTCTTATCTGACTCAATCCAGGGTTCCCAAGTACTTGGGGGTGTGTCAGGGCCCTCCCCTCTCCTGCTGCATGGAGCGCGTGTCCCTGGCTGAGCTGTTTCTAACCTTCTCACCCAGGGTCAGTCTTGGTGTCTGAAACCCTGTGTGTGTGGATACTTTGCACTATCTCAACCTGACTCTAGCAGCTGTTGAAGGTTGGGGGCCCAATCTGGTACCCAGGGAGCCCCATCTTCTCTAACCTAGAGTGGAGTGAGAATACCCCAGTTCAGGCCCTAGCTCAGCTATCCCTGGCTGTGTGGCTAAGTAAATGTGTCAAATCTTCTAATAGCCCTGAGTGCTAAATGACATCACTGGGATTTCAGTTCCATAAGTGGGATGAAACTGACTCTCATAGTTCACACTGGCTCATTTGGGAACTCGGTTCTTATTGGGCTAATTCTCGGTTCTGGTGCTTCATGACTCGGTACAAGGTCCGACCTTTTATGTGAAGGTCTTAAGGAAATGCTCCAATGTCTTTTAAACCACATTTAAGTACTACAGTAATAGCCCATGTATTTAGATGTGTCTCCAGTTGGAAGGAATACATGTATGTAGCGACTTGGTCAATATCTGTAAATGAGCCAACTCCTGGTACCCAACTGACCCCTGCCCCACAAAAAAAAAAAAGAAGAAAAAAGAATAAAAATAAAAATACATGTAACTCTTAAATATTGAAGGGTGTTGTAGGTTAAATTTCCTTTTCTGTAGGAAATCTATTTGGTGTAAAAATATATGTTCAAAGAAATGGAAGGACATATCAATTTTTAAAAATATGCTAACAATGGGGCTAGGGTTGTGGCTCAGCAGTAGAGCGCTCGCCTCGCATGTGAGAGACCCTGGGTTCGATCCTCAGCACCACATAAAAATAAATAAACAAAATAAAGATATTGTGTCCATGTATAACTAAAAAAAATATTTTTTTAAAAATGGAAGGACAAGAGTGCCCATCTGAACTGATCATGGGCCCATGTGTGTGGGATTTGGAAGGCTTTTGGTCTTTCTATCAATCTTTTTTTTTTTAAATGGTTGAACGGTTTGACAGTTGGCTGGGGTGCTTTCTTTTCTTTTTTTTTTATTGGTTGTTCAAAACATTACAAAGCTCTTGACATATCATATTTTATACATTAGATTCAAGTGGGTTATGAACTCTATCAATTTGTTGGCAGCTCCTGCAAAATAAGTAGGTACAATGATGGGCAAATTATGACCAAGACTACTTGAAAATATTTATTGTCTATAGGATGTCCATTTCTCCATTCAAAATGGTTTAACAAATGAAAGAAAACTTCACATTTGACTTTATATACTGTCCAAAAGTCTATGTCTCAGAAAACAAATATTTGGAGCTTATCAAGTTCTATGTGCTTAGTATGGGAGTAGAAAATGGTGCCCATCAGAAAATCCCTGCCATCAGGAGCTTATGGAACATGGGTTAACTAGGATATGACTATCAAAGACATGTGGAAACACATATTCAAGATGCTACATAGGATTAAATGTAAACCAATGGGCCACAGATTATATGTTATACAACGAGGGCTGATGCTGCACATATTGTAAAAAGACGCTCTCGCATACTGTAATGGCAATCTCACTGCTGGGTGCAGGGGGGTGCCACCTGAGTTCTGAGATGAGGGAGAGTAACTTTGAACAAGGCTGTCTCTATGTCTGGAGACCAATCAACTAGAAGGACGGCTTATCTGCTCCATTATCCCAAGGCCATGTTGGACTAGGGACCACGAAGGCACTCCCATTCAGGAGGGGGGAAGAGTGGGGACACACGGCGCCATGTTCAGGTGCTCACCGACATTGCGTGGCCCATGGCAATCACACTGGACAGTGCCCATCTGGACCTGTTCCTAGGCATCCTGCATCTTTCTTATTGTCCCCAAGACTTTTCGTGCCTCTCAACTGTGCATTCACTGAGTCTATCAGGCTTTGAGGAAAAATTTTATTTTTCCCCAGCCATTTTATCCAGTGAGAGGGTTCACTGGACGCTTCTAATGCATCCTCCTTGGACTTGACTCTGAGACACTTCCATCATCCCCTTGGAGGAGTTAGGAGCATCTGTGAGAGCATGGCGTGATTTGATCCTTGTGCCCAATCTGAGTTTTAATTGCCCTGTGCTATTCAACTTTCTTAGTTTTATCTTCTGCTTTTTGGGTTAAGAAGGGTGATCTCTTGGGGCTGGGGATGTGGCTCAAGCAGTAGCATGCTTGCCTGGCATGCGCGGGGTGCTGGGTTTGATCCTCAAAACCACTAAAAATAAAAAAAAATAAAGATGTTGTGTCCACCGAAAACTAAAAAATAAATATTAAAAAATTCTCTCTCTCTCTCTTTCTCTCTCTCTCTTAAAAAAAAAATAAAGGTGGTCTCTGGATTTTCCTGAGTCTTCTCCCTGAAGACACAATAGCATCATCACTAAAGAATTCTATTTCATTGGTTTATTTATTTTATTTATGATACAACATACATAACGTGAAATTCCCATCTTAATAATTACATGTTTCCTTTGGTAATGAGGAGGGCCTCCACCTGCTGGGTCAACTGCTGCCTCATTGCGGCTCCTCCTCCTGTGCAGGTCCCTAGCATCTCTTCCTGGTGACATCTCATTAAATGCAGCTGACGATAACAATGCACACGACTCCTGTTCTGCTTTCCACCTTCCCTGCATCATCTTGCACAGTATCCATCCTTCAAGCATCTTCTTTGCCACCATGTACCCTGCACAGTCATCCTTCCCATTTACATACTGGTTTTAGTGTTGATTTAGTCATTTTAAAAAATTATTTATTTATTTGTTCTAATTAGTTATACATGAGAGCAGAATGCATTCTGATTTACAGTACACAAATGGAGCACAAGTTTTCATTTCTCTAGTTGTATACAATTCGTGTCATCGTACATGTACCTAGGGTAATGATGTCCATCTCATTCTACCATCTTTTCTACCTCCATGCCCCCTCCATTCCCAACCCTCCCCTTTGCCTTATCCAAAGTCCCTCCATTTCTCCCATCCTCCTCACCCCCCAATATGAATCAGCATTCACTTATCAGAGAAAATATTTGGCCTTTAGTTTTTTGGGATGGGCTTACTTCACTTAGCATTTTCTTCTCCAACTCCATCCATTTACCTGAAAATGCCATGATTTTATTCTCTTTTATTGCTGAGTAATATTCCATTGTGTATCACCACATTTTCTTTATCCTTTCATCTAATGAACGGCATCTAGGTTGGTTCCACAATTTAGCTATTGTGAATTGTGCTGCTATAAACATTGATGTGGCTGCTGTTTTTAAGACCTTTGGGTATAGTGATTTGGCTATTTTTGGGCAATGATTTCTATACTTGCCAGGTGGTAGAGGCCAGTGCTTCTCAAGCTCTGACAGCCATGCAGAGCATGAGAAGAGCTTGTTAGGGGGCTTGGGGCAGGAGCTAACATTTTGTATTTTTAACAAGCTCCAAGATACTGTTGGTCCAAGGGCCTCATTCTAAAACATAAGATCATCCTGTAGAAACAAAGAGATTCTAAATCTCAGTGAATTCACATACTGAGAACTTGCCTTTCAATCATGTCACATGCTCAGCACAAATTAGGAGGGTTATCCCTTGCAGCTACTCTGGTATCTGGGTTGAAGGAAGCCCCATCCTGATGCACCCTAGCTTGTGGGCTCTTTTCCTACCCACATATCACTCATTGGAACCAGTCACGTGGTCTCACTTCCCAGTGGGCTGGGAAATCCAACCAACTATGTACTTTTGGATGTGATAGGTGAATAGCACCTGCCGGGGTGGGCCACGCAGTGTCATTATGTGGCGCTTACTGGCCAAGACATTGCAGTTGCTTTATTTATTCATTTTTGAAAATCTGTTTATTTATTCTAACTTGTTATATATGACAGCAGAATGCATTTCAATTCATAGTACACATATAGAGAATAATTTTTCATGTCTCTGGTTGAACACAAAGTAGAGTCACACCATTCATGTCTTCATACGTCTACTTGGGGTAGTGATATCCATCTCGTTCCACTGTCTTTCCTGGTTTATTTACTTTTAAACATGGCCATATGTGTGGAAAGGGCACAGCAAGGCAAGAATGAGCCCGTGAGGCCTGGAACAAGCACAGGAGTGATCCACCTGCTGCATTT